TTCATTGCCTATTTAGGAGCATGAAGGAGTTAGTGAGGATTCTCTTTTTTGTACTTAATTGAGAGGGTTTAATTTATTTAATTTCTATTTTTAGTACACTGGACATTGATATATAGGGCTATAGCACAGAAGTATTTCGGCTTGTTTGCTGTAGTCTGATCCTGATACATTGTATTGTTACATTGTTTCTATTTATTATACTTTGTAACAATTTATACTGGAACTCGTTACAGATATATTCAGCACTGTTTTTTCAGCCGAACTCAGTCTGCATTCTTTTTCTTTTTTTTTGGGTTAGGGTATATAGAATTTAGTGGTGTTTAATAAAGATATTTTTAGATAGGTATATAATTTGTTTATGTGTGATATAATTACCCTACACATATATTTTTGCGCTGGGGTAGCTGTAGTAGAGGAATTCTCCCTCCTAGTAGGGATTATTTCCTCTTACTACTTTCTATATTGAAAAACTTAGTTTGTATGCAAGCTGTAGATATAATGTTGCCAACCCCTTAAGGACCAAACTTCTGGAATAAAAGGGAATCATGACATGTCACACATGTCATGTGTCCTTAAGGGGATAAATGAATGAGGTTGTTCAAACTCAGAAAGTTATGTGGATTAAATAAATTCAGCTGAATGAAGATATTGTGTTATTGTTGAAAGTAGAGGCAGTAATTACACAGCTCTCGACTGGGCCCCTGCTTACACATACCCACCGAGTGGCCCTAAGTGCATTGGCCACCAAATAGGCTCATTTAGTGTAGTTCTACTACTGTTTGTCCTCCATGACCTGATAAGCAGGGAATCAAGACATAGTTGCAAAAACTTTCAGTGACAGGGGTTCAGAGACAAATATTTTCCTATAAGAAAATCCACTGGGAGATCAAGGAAGGAAAAATACACACTGCAACATCACATACAACATCTACTACAATATAAAGAGGCCTTACGGAAATATATCAAGGATCTACAACCAGTGCTCACGGAGGATCAGGTATTGAAAAACCATCTACCCTGAACTCCCTATGCTGTCATTTAGACAACAAATGCTGGTCAGTAGGAAACTACCCACAGAGAATAGGTCCAAGCCCTGCAATAGACCACACTGCAAACCGGCCAGTATATCTGTACAAATAACAGAAACTCACAACATATAACATCAAAAGGACCTTTTCCTGTATATCAGGAAATGCTTTATACATGATTGAATGTAGGGAATGCAAACATGGATATTATATCAGTGAAACTATCCAGCAACTGCATGAAAAAAAAATTAACACGCAGATACACCATGAGGAAGACAAATACTTCACACCAGTTGGACACCACTACACACAGAAAGAACTTTGCATCCAGGACCTTAAAATAAAAATACAAAACAGAAGAAAAAAAAGCATTGGAGTCTAGATAATTTTCAAAACTAAATTTAATGCACAAAATGTCGAATTGGGTCTTTCTAGCACACTACAGAAATGTTATATCACTTTGCTCCTTCTCATTTAGCCAGTATACACTACAAGCATAATAAAATTGTATGGCTAATAGTGTATTAGTTGCCAAGTACCTTTTGTCAGGGATTCTTACATGAGGTGGGAGTCTGTAGCACAGATATGTTTGCTCACCCTTGCAGATAGAAACAGTCCAACAAGACCAGATATGAAGCCATCTGGACTGTGAATCTGTGCACGGGGGCTGTGCAGGAAAGGTGATTCCAATGCAGTACCGACAAGGACACAAACAGCAGGATAGTCAAGGGAAAGTCAAAGGATGCCAGAGGTCAGGATTAACAAAGTGTAGCCAAAGTCAAGGAATGCCAGAGGTCAGGATAAATGAAGACAGAAACCGGGGTCAATATGGAATAAAGGTTCAAGAGACTGGAAGACAGGAACTGAACTCAACAACAGGATCAACGACTTGATAAAGTTCCCAGGGTGAGGCTGTGCATATATATCCTGCTGACGACTGATCTCAGGTGAAGCGCAGCCATAGATGAAGTCCAGCCCCCAGTTCTACAGACAAGCCAGGATGAACAGGACTTGAATACATCCACTGACTTGGAACTGCTGTGGCTCAGAGGTAGATAGCAGGAACAGAACAGCTAAAGCACCCAGGTTCAAATCTCCTTTGGATACCTATGGCATGACCACATCTAGAGTCATGGTGAGAACAGTGACACCTTACCTAACTTGTTATTTCTTCATTGAATATTAACTTATTTTTTTTCTCCAATTCTTCCACCCAAGGGCAGATTTAGAACACTCTGCAATAGTTATTTTTTGCTGGTTTAAACTCTGCATCACAGCTATCTTAACTTGCTTGTTTCATAAAGGGAGGAACTATTGAGTGCCTGTCAAATAAAAAACTGTATTAAAAGACTCTGCAATACTTCATTATTTGCATTTACATTACTGGCCTAATGTGGCAATTCAAATATCATATACGTTATAGGTTTAAGTCTTTCCTTTAGAGAAATTGCACAAAGTACCAAGGTGTCAGTGAGTGCAGTTTCATAACCATCAAAAGTCAGCTGAAAATTAGAGGAAACTCTAACTGCCTGATGGACCCAAAATCGCTTCGAATCAGAAAGTTTACAGCTTACTTTAATAGGTGGTTCAAAGCTTTGCAAGCAGCTTAACACTGGTCAAAGTAAGCAAGTCTCACTTCTAACTATAAAGAGAAGACTTCAACCTGGTTTGACAGGTTGAGTGATAGTAAAAAAACTCTTATGTAAATGGCAAAATAAGAAAAAGAGGCTTGACTGGACCATGAAGCACCAACTGTGGATTATAGACAAAAAAAGGTCTTATTGACCAAAGAATCTAAATATATGTTTCATCACACAGGATTTTTGACATTAAGTAATCGAAAAGCTACCAGATACCTTTTGCTGGATTTATAGATGGCAATTTGTAAAGAGTAATATGCTCCCTGAACTGAAAACACTACCATGATAATTTGCTGTGTCAAACAATACTGACCTGGTATACACCCAGGTGATCAGGGGTACATCCTATAGCAAGAAAATTACAGAAAACGTAACACCAGACTATATCAGAACTACCTTAGAAGAAAATAACAAGACAGTAGACTTAACATCATGGAATGGCTAGGACAGTCTCTAGACTTAAATTACATCAGGTCGTTTGGGTTGAACTAAACAGATGAATATTAGAAAACCAAACCTACAAATGTGAGGGAGCTTCTGCAACAATGTTGGGAATAACTTTTTAGACAATATTTTATGTCCATTGTAGAAATATCAATTTACGTGTATTCTTTAAAACATCAGCAAAAAGTGTCTACTTTAATGAATCAAAAATTTAAAATTCCACTTTTTAAGAGCATAACAATTCCATTATTATTTTTTTTTATTTCCAGTTGTTTGCATGTTATATTCAATAAATGGACACTATAGTATCAAGCACACAAACACGTATTACAGCCAGAATAGTGTCAAACTATTTAGATCCCCAGCTCAATCAGTGAATGTCTATGGGGAATGTTCAGTGCCTTCATGCAGAGCGTGCAGCACTGGTGCAGCACTGGTCCAGAAAGCACCAATGATGGCCATATGTGTGACTGACACTAGAGGTTTCACTAGCCAGCAATGCCAACACTGCCTTTTCTTTGAAAAATCAGTGTTTACAGTGCTAGCACTGCAGGGACAGGGTATACATACAAGAACCACTACATTAAGCAGGTGACTATAGTGTCTCTTAAATATTAAAGTACTTTAAGACATAAAACAGTGTAAATTGAATTAAATACTGTTAAAACATTTGACAGGTAGTGTAGATGCCATTTATTTGGGACTGTGAGGTGTTCTAACTAGAGTAGCATACGTTAGCATACATTGGTGGTAGTGTATCAGGAAGTATAAAAAATTACCCAGTCCTTAAAAGTCAGTGTAGATAAGTTACATAATTATTTGTAAAGTGTTAATTTTTTACTACTTCCTCTCATTGTCTTATTCCTAAAGGGTTATTCCAATCCTTGCAATAAAAATAAATGTATACACTATAAATGCCCTCTGGGTCATAACTATTAGGTGTCCCCCATCCCCCATCAATCTGTAAGAAAGGTTTTAGACTTACCTTGAATCCAGCACAAGGCAAATCTCCTGGTGCTGATCTTCCGCACCATGTTATGATATAACTCGACACTTGCGCAATCCTATAACATAGAGAAACCTGTGATTGGACTGTTTCGTCGGCTCAGAGCGCATGCACACAATTTGAACCAGTGAGGAGAAGGGGGAGGGAGGGAGAAGGGAGAGTGTGAGGGCTATTTTAACTATATTTAAAAAAAGCCCATTTGGAATTTGTGGTGGGAGGGAGGGGAAGGAATGCTCCCCTTGCAGGCGCTCTGCTTGAAAGTTGAAAGATTTTTAAGTCTGTAGGCAGGCTGACAACGGACATTTTTTTATGCACAGATTTGATATTGACTCTGCTCTGGGTTGCCCAACTAACATGTGCTAGGGGTGCAACTAGCTTTCCAGCGCACTAGTAACAATAACTCTGGATCTGCGATACTTCAAGCAGAAACAGTTACCATGCAAATCACTGAAGTAGTCATGGTGGTTTGAGTAACCCTTTTAAACACAATATGCACAACTCTCTTGAAGAATGGTATTTGTGTCAATTGAGCTGTGTTATCTATGTTTTTTGTTTGTTTTGTTTTAACTCATTATTACAACTCAAGTTTAAAATATGTGTGTCCTTTTGAAGGAGGATCTCCTGAAGGATTGACATTAAATTATGACCTTTACAATAATATATTAAATGTCATATCTATCTATCTATCTATCTATCTATCTATCTATCTATTCTATCTATCTATCTATCTATCATCCCATCTATATATAAAATGCATGTATTTCCAAGAGCCAACATTAGGGGGAGCCCATTCCCCCATAACAGAACATGACGTTGGCTGTCCAATCAGTTTCAGCAGAAGTCACAGAGAAGGGATTCTTGGCAGGGAAATTCTCCTTTTCTCCCTAATCCCGACAGTGTGTGTACAGTGTGCATGGGGTGAGAAATCAAGTATCTGCATTACATGGCTGGAGCTAGCTGACATGACTGTAAGTACACATATATCCATTGCCTTCATGTCACACAGCTACCCCTCCTCCTCCACAAGCATCATTTTTATTGTAACATTTATTGTGGATGAATCACCCATGTCTGCATGTATGTTAGGTGCGTGTGGACTTTTATCTCCCTGGAAGACATGGGTGCAATAGCTGCCTTGAGACAAGGGGTTAATATATATAGAAAAAGACCCTCCCATCACATTGCAGCCCACCCACCTTCATACCCCATTTTCACTTAATGGGTTAATATCTACCTCTCGATCTATCTATGTATCTATCTTTCCATCCATCTATCTCTCTTTTAACCCCTTCACTGCTGACCATTAGATTCAGATCATGTAAATCATGCATTCACCCATACAGGTGCCTACATGTCTGTGTGCCCAGCTGAGCTAGCTGCCAGGGAATGCATGCCCCCCCGTGACTATACATGCATGCACACACATTTTACACTGGCATGCCTGTGCATTTATAACACTGCCATGCAGAGGGATGCTAGAGCACCTTTCTGTCCCTGCTTTAGCGATATTTTACATTGAAGGCTTCCCTGTGTTGTTTGCAGTGAAGGTGGCAATTAAAATAGCTACATGTGTGCTTGAGAAATCGTGCCTCTCTCTCTCCCTCTCCCCCTCTCCTTCTCTCTCTCTCTCTCTCTCTCTCTCTCTCTCTCTTTGCAGTCAGTAGATAATTCTTGTCTGTCTTTAGCCCATTTCTGAGGATGCCTCTGCTAAACCCATTCTATTAATAATGTATGGCCATCTTTCAGCCATTTCCCTGTAACCTGTTCTCAGTTTTTTGGGGGGATACAGAAACTGTAAATTAATCTCTGTATTTAGATGCTTGTTTTCCCCCCATTTCACCATCTTCTTCTCTCTAATAAAATATTGATTCCACCTCTCTCTCTGTTCTGTATAGGAAGGGGGTGTTTAGAATGAGAACATTATGCTGCAGATAGCAACAGCATTGATCAGCTAAGGAGCAAATAAGCCTTCCAGATCCACATATACAAACCTACAGGATCTGGCCACAAAAAGGAGCTTGTTATCCCAGTCCTACATCGTGCTTTACAGAACAATCTGTGATTTATTCTTCTTGTTCCTGAATTTCTGCCTTTGCTTCTCAAAGTCAGGAAGGATTTGGCTAATACACAAAGGATTGCATTTCCTCCTTTAAATCTCCAATCCTTTTGCATTTTTTTATTCCTATGTATTTCTGCACCCTGTTTTCCTATGTGGATATGCAAGGTAGAAGAAAGAACAGCATAATCCCATCATGTCCACAGCTTTAACCCAACAGACTAACGGATCTGTGTCTACAAGCCCAGGTAAGTCTGAGACAATACCTGTTTCTTTATCAACCTTTGTACCTCAGTTTGCAACAATTCCATCAGTGACTGCTACCTGTAATTGCAATCCCTTAAGGATGAGCTGCATGGCAAATACTCCATGTATGAGATCCTTCATCACATTCACCTCTAGTAGCTGTTGCATCTCACATTTTCTGCAGGCTTGTATAGATGTGAGAATATGGAAGCTGCTGTAGTATACTTTATTTCTACAAATATCTCTGTTTTATACTTCGTTTCTTTAATTCCAGTGTTCTCGTAGCCAGTGGTGCATTTGATGCCCTGTGGACCAAAGTATTTTTTTAAAATTCCTTTAATCAATACACCTGTTAGGTGCAGTGGCTGAAGAACGTGATGGTGTGCATATACAAAATGCCACTGATTGATTTATTTTTACACGTAATACTAGAAGACCCCCACACACTTAATTATAGAAACCTGGATCAATTTTAGTGAATGCAATAAAGGAACACATTGCACACATGTGGACACACATACATATAGAAATACACATACAGGTATACAATTGGTATTCGGATTTCCAAAGGTTTTTCTATGATGCATTGCTCGTTGTATTTCTGTGTACATCACTGTATCCAACTGAAATCATGGTAATTGTTATTTTCACTATAATGGGATCTAATAGAGATGTATGGTGTAAATGTGTGTATGTCACATACTATTGCAGTAGTAAGATGCATGGTCTTAGACTCACAGGCCTGGCAGTTAGTTGAGGCCTTATTTTACTTCTTAAAATGACCCTAGGAGTAACACATTGCTATACATATGGGCAGAGACAAAAACCATGCACTTTACATGTATTCAGATGTTTGGTAAATACATTTTAGTTGAAATGGGCTATGCCTTAAATAGTCTTCCATTTATTTAACAAATCATTCCCTGACTCATTTTATTATTTGTTATGAAACACCTGAATATTGTGCAATTTTTTGTGTTATGTTTTTTTTTTGTTTTTTGATTTACAAAGTTTGTAATTTTGTATTTTTATACATTTTGTTTTTGGTGTAGTAATATTACTAGTTTATAGTGTATTATTGATCTACTCATATCATATTTTAGGGGTACATCCTTTTACAGACTGCATAGTGTTAATATGCACATGTGCATAGTTCAGCTCATTGTTGCATCTCACTACATACTGTCAGAGTCAACACCTAAAGCATGCGCAGAACATTTCATTAGGGTGTTCACCCAATAATATTTTTAATTATTAGTAGTATACTCAGTCACTGATAATTTTTTACTTTTTTTTAAAATCAAATGAAAACATAAATATGTTTTAAAAATATTATCAGCTGAAATTTATTTTAAAAATGCAAACTTAAAAAAGGATAAAATACCAAGGTTTCCTTAGTTATGACCAGATATATACAGAGATAGATTCGATTTTCATGCTCATCAAAGCAGAAGTGCAGATAAGGGAAAGCAGTAGTGAGGTTGACCTGTGCACATCTGGAACACCCCCAATGTTTGGCATGGTATGTTCCACTGAAACGTATTACTTAATGTTGCATTACAGTGTACATTTTTAAAACCTGTTATGTGTGCAAAACATTTGCCCTATGGAGAGGCCTGAAAAATTAATAGAATAGAATAAATCACTCCAACCTCTGATAGGGGGCCTGATCAGGCCTTACGCCTCCATGACTGAAACCACAAATGAAAATAATGATTAGAGGTGATGACAGGTGTTCACACCTGGTTATCTGTTTAAATGATAATAAAGCAATTAAATTACAGATAAACAAACAGTGATCCACTACATCCACCTTAAATAATAAATGTTTTTTTTTTTTCTTAAAAAATTCTGTCACTCATCTTGTTTTATACCAATTATTTAAAGCTACCATGGGCCAATCTTTTACATTACCCTGAATTGTGCTATTAAACCTGTTCATCATTTGGCTGTCGTAAACTGGAAATAAAATGGAATGATCCAATTTTATAAGTATGGACCATATATCATTCAGCATTACAACCTCCCTATTAAACCTACAGAGCCGTACATCTGCTATTATTCAGTAGACGCTAGACACTTTTCAGGCAGGCCAGAAGCTTCCAAATGGCCTTCCTAAACTAATACCATCACCTTGCAAAAAAAAAAAAAAAAACTAAACATATATATAACTTAAATATATACTAACATAAATGTATCAATAGGTACATCTTGTCCTTTTAAGAACCCAGACAGATATTATCACACATATGTAATATATATATATATATATATATATATATATATATATATATATATATGCATGAATATTATTACACTTGTCTATTTCTTTAGACACAACCTGCGGAGAGGTTATTTTTCAAAATCTGGACAAGGCATCTCCACAACTCACCACCCCCACGTTTCAAAACAATTTACTATACCTTTTTTGCATTAGTCACGCTTGCTAATTGTACAGAGATTTGCCTGGTGTGAGGTCCAGCTCGAGATGGACTAGAATTGACCTACAACCTCTGCATCGTGACATTCTGTGTGCTTGCTAAGCTGTGCTTGTCTAACAAAAAATTGTTGCAATTTATAAATTTTTTAAATTATGGAAACTTTTCATTCAAATGAAGCTAAAGAGCTCGGTGATTTTCTGACATTTTCAAGAGAGGGTGAGCTTAGACTCAACTAAAATGTTATACCTAGAAAGAGTTTATAATGCCAGATTATCATCCCAGAGAGTGATTTTATCACATTCAGATAAGCCATTTACCAGTGATCATCATGTTTAATGTGTGATTTTTCATTCTCACAGTAAGCATGTTTTGCTTGGTTTTATGAAAGCAAAAAAAAAGAAACACACAAAAAAAAAATACAAAAACAATTTCTGTTTGTTTATATAAAACAAAAACTCCAACATCTTTACTATAATAATTAAAAGAAAAAGAATATTGCCTTGCAAATTATTTGATTCTTCACTAATTTTCAGTTTTTTCAGATCGATAACACTGTCATTGCGCTATAAGGATACTTGTGTACGAAGGGTGAAAATATAAACATGAGAAATAGTTTTTAAAATAGCATAGAACTAATGTCACGGATTTAAAAATGATGTACCATAAAAGAACAATCACATTGTACTAATCAATGGCAAATGATACACAAAATGCACAAAACTTGAAAATTGAAGCTGTTTCTAAAGAAATAAAAACAAATTATATATATATATATATATATATATATATATATATATGTGTATATATATATATATATGTGTATATATATATATATATATATATATATATATATTTTTTTTTATTAACACACCTTAATACCTTTCAGAAGTAACAGCATTGTCAGATTTGGCACTTTTAGTTCAGCTCTGTGATTATCTTTTGTATTAAACAGCAGCTTGTACATAAAATGTTTTTTATAGAAGTCTTATTAGAATAACTACATACTGGCATCTAATTAATAAACAGATAATTGTCTTATGTATGAATTTAACACAATGGGAGATATCTCAGAAGGCTATAGTCAGGGTGCTGGGATTCACATGGTTTTGGGCAAGGAAGGGAATATAAATACCTCTGTATATTGGCAGCACACAATGAAGAAGGAGGTTATGTGTGCTACTTAGATTATAGCTCTTTTATCACTTTATCTATCTTGGATGGCTTTCACAGAATTAACTTGCAAGATGTCTGCTTAAGATAAGCCCCTTTTTATGCTCTTATATGGTACTACTGAACTGCCGAGCTTGGAAGCTTTTCAACACTTAGAATGTGGTTGATGGTGGGGCTTGGAGAAAGGAGGTTGATTGTTTTTGTAGGAATATATCGTTGATAGGATGATAACTATTTATTTTAAGTTTTATAACGTATAATCATTACAGTTGCTATTGCATACACTAGAGTAAAATTTCAATCCACTGAGTGTTGAACTAATGATAAGAACTGTTAATTTGATTGTTATAGATTGCTCAGCCTTATTGAGAAATCGAATTTATGAATTTATTATTTTATTGCACAATTCACATTTCATATTCCCATAAGAAAGTGTTTCCAACTCCACTTCTCAGGGGACACACTAATTGCCCAAAATTGAGGTATTTTCCAGTTCTGCTCCTATGGACATTATGACACAACTTGGGACAGTAGTGTGTATTTTAGCCTGGATAAGGAAGCACTTTTCTGGGGTATCTATACCATCATAGTACATATTAGGCCCTTCATTAAACTGACAGGTCTTACTGAGCCAGTAACTTCAGAATTTAAAGTCTATCGTTTTGGTGATAATATCTATACACAGTGGTTGTTTTTGGGATGGTTATGCTGCAAATCGAGATATATAAAAAAATATAACATTTACATAACTGAGGATCTATTTCCAGGGAAATAAGGTTTCAAAACAAGATCAAATTAATAAGAAAAATGTATCATAATAGTATTAAGCCACATAACTATTTAATGATTCGTAAAATCACCAGGAACCATTTGGAATTTGTAAGACATGTAATAAATTGAATAATTGTCAATTAACACACTGTGCTATATTTTAGATTGTAAAATCATTTGATTAATGCATTTGTCACCTTTTGTCCCTTAATTTATCATGTCACCAAATACTTGTATGTTTGACTTATAATGGTCTTAACTTTACAGAATTTGATTCTTTATAATAATAATAATTAAATAGTCAGGTGTGAATTTACTTTTCGTCACTAAAAAATTTAGGCCAAAATAGATAAACTGAAAACCGAATTGACTTGGAAAAACTTTCTAGTTTGCCTATTTTAGCCTAAACTTTTAAATTCACTTTGAATTCCCTGAAATTTAGAATTTTGTGAAATAAGCTGTTGGTGTTTTCATTTACATATTGTAATCACGAAAATAGCAATTATGGAGAATAGGCAGTGGAAATGCACAGGTAATGACATTTTTGAATGGGAAATTTTCTTGGCTGGAGATTATTACCAGTTCAGTTATTTGTGACGTAAAGTTTGCAGCTCCATTCAT